ATGGAAATTAGACAAGGTTTTCACTATTACTGTGGACAATGCTTCTTCAAATGATGTCACTGTTAAAGAATTGTCTAAATAGTTAGATATGCGGAAAATTAATATGATGAGTGGTAAACATCTTCATGTGAGATGCATGGCTCATATACTAAATCTAATTGTGCAAGATGGTTTGAAAGAACTTGATGCTTCTGTGACACGTGTTAGAAATATTGTGAGGTATGTGAGATCTTCGCCTGCAAGGACCTTAAAGTTTAAACAGTGTTGTGCACATGTAAAGGTAGAATGTACCAAAACGTTGTGTTTGGATGTTCCTACCAGGTGGAATTCCACCTATTTGATGTTGGATACAGCACAACACTTTGAAAAAGCCTTTGACAAGTTGCATCTTTTTGATGATGGATTTTCTGCATATCAATGTTCTCATCTTTGTGAAGATGGTGGTAATGCAGGTCCTCTTGAATCTGATGATTGGGTGAATGTGAGGAATGTGATAGAGTTTCTTGCAAGATTTCACGAGCTAACTAAAAAAGTTTCAGGTTCACGTTATGTCACTTGTAATTCTCATTTTGAGGATGTATCTGAACTTTATTGTCATTTGAAAATGTGTTTAGCTAGTGAGGATGAGCATTTGAGAAAAATGGCTCAGCAAATGCAAGAAAAGTTCAAGAAGTATTGGGGTGAGCCTGAAAAGATGAATAAAATGATTTTTATTGCTTCCGTCTTGGATCCACGTAACAAATTTGAATATGTTGAGGGAGCACTTGAAGAACTTTTTGGGGAGGAAAAAGGGAAGAAAATAAATGCTGAGGTGTATGCTTATATGAATTCTTTGTTTGGAGAGTATCTAAAAAAGTATTCAACCGAATCTTGTCCTCAATCTCCATCTAGTTCTACTTCATCTAACAACACATCTAATACACCTAGTGGGAGTGTTATAAGTGCATCAAAAATAAGGACTAAGCTTAGCTTGAAGAAACAAAAGGAAGACAATGGAAGTGGGGGTGCTAAATCGGAGTTGGATAAATACATTAGTGAAGAACAAGAGCCTTTTAGTGAAGAATTTGATATCTTGAGTTGGTGGAAAACACATGCTCCTAGATTTCCTATTCTTTCGGAGTTGGCTCGTGATGTGTTGGCAATTCCAATTTCTAGTGTGGCGTCGGAATGCGCGTTTAGCACTGGTGGCCGTATTCTTGATTCATTTAGGAGTTCATTGACTACTAAATGTGTGCAAGCTCTTATTTGTCTTCAAGATTGGATTAGAGAAGAGAAGAATCCTATTAGTGTTGAAGAAGACTTGAAGTATCTTGAGGAACTCGAGCTTGGTAAGCTTTAATATTTTGTGTGTATTTTAATTCAAAATAATATATCATGCTTTTTCATTTGTATGACATATTTGGTCGTATTATCTTTAGATATGGAAAATAATGGAAGCACTACTAGCATTGTTTGATGTATAGTTGCAACTTGCATCTTGAGTGGTAAGTTTAATACTCTATTTGTTTGGTGATAATGATATACTTAATATTTTGTAGTTTTGTTTTATTATCATCAAACTATAATATTCTAACTTATGATTTATATTTTTTTTAGGTTCAAGTGCAATCATGCCCCGTGCTACTGCTCAACGCCCCGTGCTACTGCTCAAGAGTCAAGACTGTTTGTTGAGGGATGCCCTCTCTATTTTTGTTGCACTATGTTTAACTGTTTAAGTGTTAAGACTGTGCAGACTTGCAGTTGGCCAGTTGCAGTGTTGCACTGTGTTTAAGTGTTAATACTTAAGAGTTAAGACTGTTTTTGTTGGACTGTGTTTAACTTGTTGGACTGTGTTAAGTGTTTAACTGTGTTTAAGTTGTTTAATATAGTTGTGTAATGTGCATTGTGCAGTTGGCCAGCTTTTGCCAACTACAGTATACGCTAGATTCATTGCAAGTTTGTATATGACATACAGTTAAGTAGTTAACAGGCTTGGACATTTGATCAGTTGGTAGGTTACTGGCGTGAGTATACTGGACAACTGATCAGTTGGTAAATTGTGAGTATACTGGCGTGCAACGATGCAAGTTTGTATAATGTGTATTGAGTATTGACTATATGAATATGACATATGTGCACGTTTACGTTGTGGTTGTGCAGTAGTTTTAGAGTGAAAATTATAGTGTCAAATTAGAGTGAAAATTACAGTGTTGGTGTTTCAGCCATGTGCACGTTCTTGTTAACTTATTATAGTGTTATATATCGAAAAACATTCTTTTAGAGTGAATTTCAATTGTGTTGTGCATGTCCACTGTTAGCACTTAGCACTTAGCACTTAGCATTGATTGTTCATTGATTGTTAAAAATCGAAACCGTACCGAACCAAAATAAGAAATACCGAACCGTACCGAAATAACTTGGTACGGTATTTGGTATACACAATCGATAAACCGAATACCGAAATACCGAACCGAAATTCTAAAAACCGAACCGAAATACCGAACGCTCACCCCTAGAATCAATACCCTATTGCAGTGTTTTAAAAGGCGGGACGTTTTACATATGTCTAAGCAAGACGTAAGCCCCGAAGCACGGAGCGTAAGCCCATAAGTATTTAATTTTTAATATTTTATAAAATAATATAATTACAGTAAATATTTATAAACATGTAAAATTGCATAAAAAACTATGAATATGTGAAATATATATATATATATATATATATATATATATATATATATATATATATATGTGTGTGTGTGTGTGTGTGTGTGTGTGTGCTCCATCCCCACAATAAATAAGTCAAAACAATCTATTATACGCTACTTAGAAGCACAGGTAACTTGAGTCGACAAGAATAAAGTTTTCTACATGGAGGAACAAAAAGGATGACTAACTTACAATTTGAACTTTGAACTTGCTGCTATGAAGAAGAATGAAGTTCTCTTTGTATTTGTAAAAGAAAAATGAATATTCATTGATTTTGGGAGATACTAGCAAACTAGCAGACAAAATAAAAAATTGGGAAAAACCATGAATTAAGGCTTCAATCAATAAAAAAGATCTTGACTTTTAAATTTAATACATTTCAGTTCCTTTTTTAAAACTTTTGAGTAATTACCAAACTGACTTTTGAGAATTTGTGTATTATATACTTATTCAACAAAATTTGTTTTAATTTGAATAAGTCTCTATGGCTTATGCCTCACTAAAAAAACACGCATCAAACGCCTGAGCATACGCCTCTTGAGACTTTTGCCTCACACCATCGCATCGGGGTATTTTTGATGCGCCTCGCCCTGAAAACGCCTTTTAAAACACTGCCCTATAGTATTGATAGTCCAGAATTTTTCTATACCATGAGGTTAATTGAGCTATAGTCAATTAAATTGCAGCGATCAATTGGGAAAAGAAGATTTACACTGTCAAGTCTAGATAACTTAAATCTTAACCCTCCTCATACAAATCATTAATAATTTACACTCTAATGAAATTTATGAAACAAAGACGTGACAATATCAAAACTCGACTATAGGGAATAAAAAGGTATCGTCCAATTTTAGAGCTTCCTTTTGCATTATAGACTGATCAATAGAGTCTCTTGCTTTAGCTCTACTTTCATAAGTTTGGACTTTCGTTCTTTGCTGCCCTCTATATAATTGGCTGTAATCATAGTTTGGCTTTCGTAGATGGTATGTTGCACTCCCTTAATGCCATAATGATAAATTTCCTGACCAACACAGAAAACATATAAACACAATCGATGTATTGTAACGATTTTGAAATAATTGATTGACTTGCAAATAGTCGTCGTCATCTTTTTCCATAGTAGTCATAACTCAAGAAAGGAAAAGACCACTTAGTGCAGCAGAAAGAGAGCATCAAGCACAACTTTCATGTCACCACTTCTTCAACTATTCTTCTAGTATTTCGGCAAATAATTCTTTACACAACTTTCTCATCTCCATGGTACTCATGTCGCTATACATTCAACAAAACCTGAACTCATTAATAGGTGTTACAACAGGCGAGCTAATTTGTGTCTTTGACTTAATTGACAAATCAAGAATCCAATGACAACTATCCTATAGGAATCAGGGGGAAAGAAGTGTGAAGAGGGATTGTACAAGAAATACAGCGTGTTTAAGTGCATTACAGTTTTGCCTGCATGTTTAGTGTAGAATCAACAGCTGGGGAGGAAAATGTTACCATATTCTGTACATTTATGCAGTGACAATCCTCTAAAGCTGGCACAGCAATTACTTTGTGGCCGACCTCCAGCCCCCCGGCAAAATACAAATGCACATCAAATTCAGAGAGAGAACTTAAAAATGCATAGATAACCATGAGTTTCATAAACAAGACATCTAATCGTTTTTGTCCTCAATCTTCTGCAACATCCACGAGTTCATTTAAATGAACTAATTTAGCAGTTTGATCGTCCTGTATATTCAAAGTGAGAATTAAAGAATGTAAACTTCTTAAATTTTTTCTTAAACTTCTTAAAAGGGAGGCAAATCACAGATGCTCCCTTAATTGCAAATGAAGTACTAGATTGGAGGTTGAAGAGTGGCGAATCTGGTATTATCTGCAAGCTGGATATAGAAAAGGCATTTGACCAACTCAATTGGCAATATCTCATCACAATGCTAAGGAAAATGGGATTTGGACAAAGGTGGATAAGGTGGATGCAATTCTGTATCAAAACTGTCAAGTACTCAATTTTGATAAACTCAAGCCCAATCGGATTCTTCTCCCCCCCAAAAAGGTCTCAAGCAAGGGGATCCTCTCTCCCCTTTTCTATTCATTTTGGCCACGGAAGGCCTGAGCCAAATGCTGGACAAAGCAAAAAACCTTCAATGGAAAAGAGGGTTTGATGTGGGGAAAGCTCCAGGGAATGTCATCACTGTTTCTCATTTGCTTTATGCAGATGATACCCTTATATTCGGTGGAGCAGAGAACCTGAATCTAACACTTATTATTTTTCAGGTACTGTCAGGACTTCACATTAATATGCTGAAAAGCATAATTTATCCTGTCAACACAGTGGACAATTTGGAGAATCTAGCAGGAATTCTTTGTTGCAGCACAGGATCCTTCCCAGCCACTTACCTGGGCCTCCCATTGGGTGCAAAGTTCAAATCCTCTGAAGTGTGAAATGGTATCATTGAAAAGGTTGAGAAGAAGCTGGCAGCTTGGCAAGTACAGTATTTATCCATGGGAGGCAGGGTGACACTCATCAGTAGTGTCTTGGACAGTATCCCAACCTACACTATGTCTCTATTCAGTATTCCTAAGAAATCACTACAACATTTGGATAGGTTAAGGAGACACTTCCTTTGGAAAGGTAATAGTGAAGATCACAAGTTTCATCTGGTTAAGTGGGCCAAGGTCACACAGCCTAGGACTATGGGTGGTCTAGGCATCAGTAACTTAGCTGTTCATAATAAATGTATGTTGTTGAAATGGTTATGGAAATACAGTCAAGAAGGGCCAGCATTATGGAAGGAAGTAGTGACTGCAAAACATGGATCACTCAATCACTGGTGTACCAGACCTCAAGAGCACCACATGGTGTTGGTCTTTGGAAGAACATCAGCAAATTATGGGAAGAGTTCTCAAGAAATTGCAGCCTCAGATTTGGGAATGGACAGCGCATCAGATTCTGGAAAGATAAATGGCTTGGCGCCACACCATTGCAGGCGGAATATCCCAACCTATTCCTTATATCTACCAACCAGGACTCCCTCATATCCCATTACAGAGAAGGAAACTCTTGGAACCCAATCTTCAGAAGAAACATGCAAGATTGGGAAATTGAAGAGCTACTCAACTTGATGGCTAGATTGGGAAGCATCACCTATAATGACCAAGCAGCTGACACTTTGAGATGTGAGGTAGAACCAGATGGCCAATACTCAGTTAAATCAGGGTACTTATTGTGCTCGGAATGAAATGGTGGACAACTGGCCTTGGAAGCTCATATGGAGAACAAAAGCATCCCCAAAGGTGATTTCTTTCGGTTGGATTGCACTTTATGAAGCATGTTTGACCCAAGACAACCTAGCTAGAAGATCTTTCCACTTGGCAAACAGATGCCACATGTGCGTGCAAAATGAAGAAACATCCAGGCACCTCCTACTACACTGCCCAGTTTCAACAGATCTATGGAACATGTTTTTGTCTCTTTTTGGAATGGACTGGGTAATGCCTGGGAGTTTAAAGGAAGCCTTTTTGAACTGGAATAGTTGGAAAGTTGGTACAACCATCAAGAAAATCTGGAAACTAATCCCTTTATGTATTTTTTGGTGTATTTGGAATGAGAGGAATAGGAGATGTTTTGATGGAATAGCAACTCCAAACCACTTCCTTAAGGCTAAATGTCTTTTACTTTTATACAGTTGGAGTACCTTAACACCTGTAAACTCCCCTGATAATTTTTTGGACTTTGTTAGCTCGTTAACATTAGTATAGGACTTTTTGTACTGGAGCTAACAAATCTTTTGTATCTATATTTCTGCATCTTCTTGATGCCATTTATAATATCTCTTACTTTATCAAAAAAAG